CACATTCAAAAAGGAAATGAGACTAATTAAGCTGAAGATTTCGCAAGCTTTAGAAATCCTCCTCTAACTTAAAGGAACGTGACCATTCTATGGCACACTATGTTTGTAGCTATGCTGAGATTCTTCCATTTGAAGGCAGCGATCACGATAAAGAGGAAGCGCATCGAGAAGGCATGTGCGCCATATGAAGCATTTACTTGGCCGCCAAGGAAGCGAGGTGTGGTGCTTTCACGACGAAAGGTGCGCTGTTGCTGAGCAGAACTTCGAAAGCGCTCCGCCTTAAAAGCGTTCCACCCACAAGTCTAGTTGGTGATTTGGACGAGCTACATTGCCAGCAGCGTCACAACTGGAGCAACTCGACAGTAGCATGGTTTGGCATGGTACCGCAAAGCGCCTTGCGGTAAACTTATTCATACGTCCGACTTCTGGGCTGTTACCTGTTCATGAGTGAGAGCCCAACGGTCGAAAAACAAGGTCCCGTTCTCCGTTGTCTTGATGGATTTCTCCGCTTTTTTCAACATTGGCGCGCACCACTGAGCACCACCTCTTCTCTCTGAGTCCTCCTACAAATTATCGTAATCGCTGCCTTTGATCAACACAAAGAACTAATAAAGTAGTCGAGCGTGCGCGAAAAAATGAGTGTACTGGGTGCGGGAGACACACATACATAGCTATTGTATTTCCCGCACGGTCCGACATGGTCCGTAATGTGCGGGATGTTTCCCGCGTTGTCGTCAATGTGTAACGGAATCTTTCTCGGGAAATCTTCAAATTCTTCCCCAACATGAATATGTCAGTCGTGATTACTGGAGACAACATACAAAGTATCACGCACGGAGGTTCGGTCTTCGAAGAGAAACAAACACACAAAAGCCACACCCTATGGGCAATCAAAGGTGAATATATCGCGCGGCGCCCAAGGTGGGGCATGGAAAGAAGTACGCCCCGCGGCGGTTCGCACAGGTGAGGCAATGAAAGAATACGATTAAAGCGCTCAATTTTGTGGAATAGAGAACAATCGATAGAATCTGATGCAGAAGAAGTGTAAGATGTCAGTGCAGTAAGTCAGAGCCCAAAAGAGTTTCCTGTGATAGCGCCCTGTGAACTAAATGGATGCGCTCCCGCCGCCAGCATTTGTGATAGATGTCCGGCAGAAACTTGAGCGCGTAGCAGTCTCTCTCGTTTTACGAGCTGTTTACCGAAACGAATGGAATTTTTTGTTCCTTCCGTTCTTATCGTGGACGATGGGTCTCAAGCAAGTGATTTGTGGATAAGAATAAAGCATTTGCCATTGTGCATGCCCTTTTTGGGATGCGGCGCATTCTGTTTCTATTTGTACATTCGTAGTGACGTTTGAATGCGATGTGGCCAATACAATGACTTGCAGGGGCCAGCCGATGTACAAGTCAGTGTTTTTTATTCTCCCAGACATGCCTGGTACCAATTAACGACCCCGGAGGGATGGAAGGCTTGGTTGGCCCAGACGACTCCCGACCGAGGATTTGATCCCCGGACCGCTCGCGCGGTAAGCGTGCCACTTGCCACGGGTGCGTGACTATTCAATCGTGGCAGTGGCTAGGTCGCCGCAGCCCGCGATGACGCGGCGAATTCGCAAAGAACTCAGTATCCAATCATTGGGGAATGTAAGATTAGATGAAGTTTTCAGTCATAAAACATGGAATAGGAATCAGCTAACCCCTTGAAATGCAGTTTCTTCGCCCTTTGCTATTATTACAAACTTATCCTATAATGCTTATGTCAGCGCCTTCCTCACCGTCCCTCTGAGTCTTGGAACGTGATGTTCTTTCTGGTTGAACCAGATTATCACTCCCTGATAGAAATTCAGGCAGCTGGTTAATAAAGAAGTCGAATTGAATTCAAAAAGATAACCTTTACATGGTACGACCTTTGCACTGTGAGAATCATTGCGGAGATCTTAAGATGGCGCTTGCTGGCTTACAGATGTCTAGCACTCTAATCTTATCAGTCACCAAGCCAACTTATGGACATGGATGGTTAAGACAAGGTCCACACAGAAATCGCCGCCCAACTGCCGCGCGCGATGATACTCGCCGCATGAGCGGCGTGCCCTCATTAGCTGACGATTGAATTGACCGTCTCCCCTAACACCAATCCGCCCTTGAACTGTTGACACATCCCTACTCATATATAATGGTCTATAGTCTCTCCTTAAACGTCTGTCACGAAAATTCGTATACAAGAACAGAAGCAACACCTAACCGGGTCCAGGTCAAGTTGGGATGGGTATACATATTCTAGACAGTAAAAAACACACACAGCCAGCGGATGCCCCGGCCCACAGTGGGCGTGGCGTGATCGTTGATCAAATACAGTCAAAAACACCTCGAGGCTGAACAAAAAGTAGGTTCTAAATGTGTCAGGAATCCAATTGATGGGAGACCCCCTCGTGGCGGGCGTTTCCTTGGAAAAGCGTGCTCAATAAAATAGTCATAACTAGGTTAGGAGGAAGCCTACAGAGCATAAAATCAAATTAGTGCAGGCAGCGATGTCTACCAGGTATTTCACAGCTCCACAGATGTAACGAGGTCCGCCCACCATAGCGGAGCGTGTCCTGAGTAGACGAAGATTTCTACAAGAGCTCATAAATCGCTCTGAGATGACTTGAAACCTGAACAACAGTGGCAAGGTTAGAGAAGAGGAGAAGCTAATGTCAAGTCGGGCGTAGCTTCTACACCAAAGTGGCGAGTTTCAACCAGCCTCATAACTCGATTCCTATGAGTCCCTGTGTGGGAAAAGCGTAATAAGTGTTGCGAGGAAGGGTCAATGTCTATGGGCAGTTGAGCAATGCATTGAAGTGGTCGAGTTTTCCACGGTACTCATACTCGGATCCAATAATTCTGAGATGGAAAAATCGTAGAAATGAGTGGGGAAAGTATATAGTCATTTGAATAACCCCCCCCCCCCCCCCCCCCCCGCGGGAGGCGGTGCAGTAACGAATGCGGGGTGTACACACGATACGTGCTAATTTCGTCCCCTACAAGGCCTGCATAATGCTCCGAGATGGCTAAACTCTGCAAAAAATACCTAGAGTAAAGTAGGAAGTAATGAGGTGAATGTGAACGCTGGAGCGTGGACACCGAGTGGCGGAGTTTGCCACCGGCCTCATTACTCGGTTCCTAGAAGTTCCGGCGACCGGGGAAAATGTGCATAAGTATTGAGGTATGGAGTAGGGTTGACTACCATTGTTCCTTACAGTTGAATTTTTTATTCATCCAGCAACATGGTAGCACTTGTCCGGTGTATGGTAATTCTATTAGACTTACGGTATGAGTTGCCTCCTTTTCCTCCGCGAGTGAAAGCCAGAGTTTCTTTTTATACGTGCCTGATGGCTCTACCATGAGCATCGAAGTCATTTTTAGGAGCTCAAAAAACCGTAGCTTGGTGCTCCAAATTCTCACTACGAATAAAAATAAGAGTGCACCAGGACAAAAAGCAGAAGTTCTCTAAGAGGATTAGCTATAACCTCGAAGATTACATCGAACATAATCACCACGTACGGTCAACCTGTGTCAGCTCTAGAAAGAAAGAGGGTAGAACTGAAGTTTTATTGCAAAATTACTGACATGAACAAGTAGCGTAGGGTCCTGCCACGCTCGTTAGGCCTTCTGATTGGAATCAGAGTAGAGAAACTTTAGGTGGAACTCAGGATGAGGTTACGCATCACCACATCCTTAGTAAACGAGCGCGAGAACTTTGTTGAAGGAATAAGTCGAATCCTGGCCCATATTTCTTCAAAGTGAACAGCAGTCATCTGAACCATCAAAGTTAAACTGCTCATTACCGAAGAAGCGCGGTCTGGAAGGAACAAATTACTTCTTATTTTGAATGAAAAATTGCTCAACAAAGCCCAACTTCGGCCCAGCCTTTCGTTAGATTTTTCTTTTCTGGTTTATTACCCACATCTATGAAGACATGTGAACTAGCTTCCAAAAAAAATTATAAAACCAATTCCAGAACACCGTAAGTAGAAAAAAACCTGTAAATCAACCTAAATAATGAATAAAGTAAAGCAACTAACCGTCAGACAAAAAGATGAATCCAACAACAAAAACGAGAGGGAGAACAGTTTGCAACAATTGAGGGGAAACAATTAGCTGACATCCTTAAGATAATGGAATACAACCCATGAAACTTGGAGAGTTTAAGCGGTATCGTGATTTTCTTGCTCATCTTAGCATATTCAGTTCCAGCACGTAATGTGGGAAAAATGACTTCGAATTGCTGTTTTGGCTTTCAACCAGAACGCCGAACGAGCATGGCAGCACGCTGCAGGACCCTACGCTAGTTGTCCAGATCGGTGGTTTTGCTATAGGATTTCAGTTCTACCTTTCCACACCGGCCAAGTGCCATCATTGCTGGATGGATAAAAAATTCAGCTGTAAGGAGACTTCCGAGGGGTGTCCTGTGATTTTGCAACGACTACAAAACCAAAAACTTGTCTAAAAATAAAAACTATTCGGATGATCTGGCTACTTGTCTGTATAGGTTTTTAAAGGCGGTTCTGATTCTACCAGTTGCGATAGGCGGCCTTTTCTAGAAGCCGAGATATTCATGTTTTTTTTTGAGGGGGGGGGGGTTGTCCTATGATTCTGCAACGCACTGCATATGTTTTGTATTTATTGGCGTACCCTTTGCAAATTTGGTCGGGGCTGGTAATAATGAACCTGACAGACGGACAGACAGGCAGACAACCAGGCAAACAAACAGACAGGTGAAGCGAATATAATAAATGGGATATTCGGAGCTGAGCTCGATCAATGGGAGCATCCTTCATTCTCAGCCAGAGAACTCCACAGATAGCTCCACGCTTGTGTACACTGGAACCTTCAAATGTGAAGCTCTGTGAAATGCAATCGTTCATATCCTTTCAAAAGTAAAACTGATTACATTCTGTGCTGGTTCATCTTGTTCTCATGAACTCGCACAATTATTTGGTGTGTAATTAGGCTTTTTAAGTATTAAACACATGTATATGTGAAAAAATCATAAAGGGTACACGATTTCGTTATTTAGTGACGGGAGCCCCGGTTCTGTTCGACTTTGAGTCATCTGAATCCAGTCGGAAGACACCGAAACGGCCGCGAACGATTCTCAATGCAACTCAACGAAAGCAGTTCAAAGCAGCCTTTGAGAAGAGCGCGAAACCGTGCAGAAAGGTAATAATTACAATTGGTAGAAAATGATAACTTAAAATACTCAATGTTGAGATAGAACAATACGAGCCAGCCAAAAAATCTGAGCTGACTTCTTAGGGCGCCACTGGATTTTTAGGGTCGGAGAGGTTATTCCTGAAAACATAAGCAATTCATCAAGGAGTTTGTTCAGGAAGTTCTTGCGTCTCTGGATGTCTCCATAAATAAAACATGTAACATTGAAACATGGGCGACTATCAATCCCGTTTTGGGACGCGCAGCGCTTCCCGCCTTCTTTCGAAATCATGGTGGTGTTTTGATGCGTTTTCTGAAGTAAAGGTTCAAAATGTTTTTGGCAATAGCGAGAAGTTCGATGATGGTAAGAGTCTAACTGTCGTTGACTTGTGCGACAAAACTATGTTCATGTGTGACGCGTGTGGGGTTTCGATTTAGTCGCATTAGCAGTGAGGGAACGGTTGGTCAGGAGGAATGAAATTTCGAAGTAGCATATGATATTACAAGTCACTGGAACCCTTTCGTGTTTTTTGTAGATTCGAGAACAGCTCGCTAAAGAGACCGGCTTGAGCGTTCGGGTTGTCCAGGTGTGGTTCCAGAATCAACGAGCAAAAGTGAGTCATTACCTCTATCCTTTGCCTACCAACCTTCACCGCCTCGGGATCACTTTACTTCCTATTCAATCTGTCTATTTGCAGATGAAGAAAATGCAAAGAAAAGAAGAGAGCAAACGGGGTTCAAGTGCTCTGGATTCTGAAGGCAAAAGTATTGAAGGCGAGAAGAGTTCAGATGAAGGTGAGCGCAGTTCTTGATGTCTTGGGCTCGTATTTGAAATACTCTTAGAAGACATCCAAATCAACACTAATTCAGAAAACTGCTCCGACTGCGACGACTTGGACATGGATCAACCAGAAAAGTCTTATCCAGACAATCCTATCGAGAAACTCTACCACATGCAAAGCACATATTTCCAATTCACGTGAGAAGTGAAAGATTCTATGAGCTTCTAAGAAGTAATTCTTCTTGAATAATGAGTCACTTCAACGTCGTTTACAACCAGGTCTAAAGTGTATGCTTTTTGTGACAGATTTTTATCGCTTACCTATCTCATCGCTGAAACGTCACAAACCTGCCCGTTACATATCTATATGCTGGTAGGAAAGTTTTTGCTTAGAATGCCCTGCTGCAAGTCTCCTCAAAGCTCAAAGATTTACACGCGTAAAGACAATGATGCCATGTAGTCATATGAAAATTATCGTTCCACCGAAATCATATCGTTTTCAGTTTCATAGGTATAGGTGCATGTCAGTGACGTAAGTCACGATAAAGTCAATTTGTATTGATTGTGAAATAAGTTCTTATAGTGCTTGTTCAACGTCGTGCGATTGGCTGTCTATTTATTACTGGGCTCTATTTGAATAACTATTTTCATCACTGGAAACTGAACAATCCGCTTTTGATTTGTATTGCTTATTTATATCTGCTGTGTTCGTGTTGAATGTTGCGCGTGGGTCACTTGTTTTCACCACATTCCTTAATTTCCACGCTACGGCCGTACTCGGCGAATTCGCTGCCGGCTATTAATGCAAAATATATGCACTCTCACTCATAAGGTCCTCGCATCCATGGCCGATATAGACGTCCGAATAAAAAACACCGTAGTTGACGCTACCTCATTTGTAGCCAGGTGACCGTGCAATGTCGCATTGTCAACGGAGTAAGCAGCCACTATTCGCCGAGCATGACCGCACGCTACCACGGTTCTGCAGTTCAAACACACTGGTTGGCTATTGTTTACATCATATTTTTCTGGTCATTCCCTTCTTGCCATATTGTTTCTAGTCAGAAGCGTATATCTCATGTTATTCACTCGATACTATTTATCGGCTTCCAAACGTTTGGTACTCTTCCTCTCGTTCGTTTTTTGAAATAAATATAATAACAGGAATGAGTTGCTTTGAAAAGCTCAACGGATCCCCAGACAGAAAAAATACAGAGGTGACGACACTTGAAATAGTACTCGAATTTCTCGGCCTTCGAGCAAAGTAAATGAGAACTACCACGTTTCGACGCATTTGCCCAGCCAAACTCGACTGCTTCTCAGTTGTAATTAAAAAATTGGTATTCTCTACACCAATCAAACCAGTTTGAAAGTCACCAAGGAACGTCTGTCTCAGGAAACTCTCAAACTGATACGCCAGCGTGGAGCCGCACGAGCTGCAGGCAATAACCGACTCACGTCCGAGCTTGGCGAAGCTATGCAAGAGGCGATAAAGGAAGATCTCAAGGACGAACAGCAGCACGTATTAGCTGAAGCAGCAGAGCCGGAGCATCCGCACTGCCCCGCGAAGCTTTGCTCCGCTACAAGACCCAGACTAGAACCTCCTCCGACTCGGAATGGAAATTTTAACTTGCATCCCGCGCAATGCGAGAAAGTCATCAAACGACTTCACTCGGATCTCCTTCGATAATCCATATCCATCTCCTACTATCAACTCTCCCAAGAGCAGGAGTTACGTTTCGCCTCAGTCCTCTCTTTCCGACTGCCGACACGCCATTCAAGTCGGTGAAGCATTAACCAGCGCCCGGGTCCGACAGGGTAAACCGGAACATCCTAAGAAACGCCCCGCCAGTTAATCATCAAAACTTTGCAGTCGATCTCACGCGCTACCTGTCCGGAGATGCCCAGTACCCACTCCGTGGAAACAAATCAAGCAAGATCCGTGTGCTGTATCAGAGGAAGACTTCACACATTGGCAACATTGCCCAAATCTGCCTGCTTCGTTAATGCTACACACCTACTGAGTCATCCTTAACAGGCCTTGCAGAACACCTAGATGAAGACAGCCCTGCGAGCAAGCAGTGGTCCCCGAAGAGGTTCAGCACGATCACGACCATTCCACACTGCTTAAGAGCCTTACTTGCCACTTCACGGAGTACAAGATGCGCTTTGTCTCACGTCATTCGACTTGAAAGAAGGCCCCTTCGACTCTGTGAGACAGAAGTCGGTCATCGAGCCTTGGCAAACCCAGGCTCGCCTACTAGTAACATCAAGGTTCCTTCGGCGCTCTACAGCACTTGCACCAGGATTTCACCATTCTACAAGGAGGTCTCATTGACGCAAGACAGGGTTTCAACAGGCGACACCATCTCGCCCACATCTTCAGCGCCACTCTCGAGAACCGTCGTGCGTCACTGGGCAATGGGAAAGAATGTGATTGAATATCCACGCCGCATTGTTACACCACTTCGTTGCTGACCCATCGTTCTTATAACGGAACTTTTATGAAAACAGGTATTGGCTCCTCATGCCCCATTCACATCTCAACGTAACGAAACATCACAGCTACTGTATCCCAGTCGGAAAATCAATATGATACGACCTACTCCAGAGCTGACAGAGGAAACGAGCGGGCATGGAGCATTCATAACATCGACGGAGTCATGAAAAACGGAAAACACCGCTCCGTACACCTCTTCAAAATCGCTGTCCTTCCTGCCTTAACCTGCGCCTCAGAGACTTGGACTCTGCGCAGGCAGGACGAGCATGCGGTCAGCGTTATCCTACGCGCTGTCGAGAGGACGACGCTAGGAGTAGCTCTATACACGCAAGTACAGAGGGGAATCCGGAGTTCGGAACTACGCCAACGATCGAAGATCAGGGACGCTGCCGTTTTCACCAGGGAATTGAAGATAAGGAGGGCCGGACACGTAATGCGATTTTGCGATGACCGTTGGACCAGAGCGGTTACTGACTGGATCCCTCGGGACGTCAAACGAACACCTGGACGGCCGCCGGCCCGATGGTCAGATTCTTCACGAAAGCTCTGAACGAAAGGAATGAAGGACATCGTGTCCCTCGAGCGAGGAGGGTCCACTGGACAACTCTTGCACGCGACAGGGACGAATGGAGACCAGGGTCAAGCGAGGCGTTGAGGAAAATTTTGAAATACGCCCCCCCCCCCCAGCCGCTGGAGTCGCAGAATTCCATATGCCCTACCCCACTTCTCTAGGAAAAGTGTAAATGTGTACGTTGCATCGTAGATTATATAGAATAAAGGTACTAATGAACTCACAAAAAGCGTGTATACTGCGGAGCGTAACTAGCAAAAGCAAAACAGCGGTTACCTGAAAAAATCAGAAAAAAAAGTTGGTATACACGAGAGAGAATGTAAACAATGAAAAAAAAGAGTAAAAAAGTAGAAAATGAAGAACGATGATTAAGCGCGGCCGCCGTGTATTGATTGGTGTACGTTAGCCGTGGAGCAGCTTATTTTCTTGGTCAATACACAGAGATTTGAAGTGAAATCAAACGACTATAACTTTCTTGAAAGTAGACCGATTTTCAACCTGAGGACAGATTTGGGAGTTTTTTCATAGACTCTTTCTAAACGTACGGAGAATTATGAGAATTAATGAGGATTTAAGAATTTAGGTCAATTAACGAGGAAATTCTGGCTGAGTGCTGATTTTTGCGCTTTCCAACGCCATAACTTCCTTCAAAGTCATCAAATTTGGAAAGCTAACATAGCAGACAAAACTAGAAGGTTTGCTCTATAGAATGGTTCTTGGAAGAGCTCGGTACGTTTAGTATTGCGAAAATGGCCACGTTGAGGATTTTTGAAAAAATAACGAGGAAAATTCTGGCTAAGTGCGGGGTTTTGCGCTTTCCAAGGCTATAACTTCCTTCAACGTCATCAAATTTGGGAAGTTAACATAGCAGACGAAACTAGAAGATTTGCTCTACGAAATGGTTCTCGAAACAGCTCGGTACGTTTAGTACTGCGAAAATGGCCACATTGTGGATTTTTATCCGAGCACCGTCGAGAGGTTTCTGCGCGCTGCATTGTCGTACTTTCAGCGACTATAACTCCTTTCGTTGACCATATTTAACGAAAATAAGGGCAGATTTTGGATCCACAGGACTTCTTCTCGCCCAGAATGTGAAATCGACATAGCACGTTTTGAATTCAACGAATATATATTTAAAAATTTAACGTTGGAACTGCGTTTTCTATTCAATAGTGGATTACTCTCTGTTAGCTCATACAGATCCTCTCGGATTCCCATTGATCTCCCGTAAATCGAGATTTTCTGTTTAATGAACCGAGGTTAGAGCGTGCGCAACTGTTTGGGTCCACTCGGGAACGCGCCATGTGCTTCACCTCCCTTCAGATTCGTAGACTCATTTGGAAGGTAAAACATCGGTCAGAAAACAGGCCGACTTCGAACTTTTCTTAATAAATCGTTTAGATATCAGAGAATCGCTATGGGAAACCTCTATGAACGCGAAAATTCCACGTCTGTGGATGATGTGATGTTGTTATTTAAAATACTGCGGCCAAGCTTACACGGCATCGATCACTCTCTGACTACGTTTTTCAGAGTCCTCCTGAGACGGTATAGTTCAGCCTGAAAGCAGTCAATTTATTACATTGAATTCTAGGATTCCTATCCTACGGCGCCTCCAATTCCTCTAACAATATCCTCTGCACATACGACTCCTTCCTCCCAGCTCAGCCGGCCAAATACGACCCCCCTCCCGTTGAGGATTCCTCAACGCACACTTGACCCTGATGGAGACGTTGCTGGCGCCCGCTCGAGCAAATCGACGATCAATGGGACGACAGGTGATACAGGTGATATTCGAATGAGTAGTGAATCAGTATGGTGTGTAACCAATATGTGATGTTATTTTATTGGAGTTCAGAATTAAACCTTGCGCAGCAGTAAACCTGAACCTTAGCAAGACTATCAAATCCGTTGCAGTTTTTTCTGCAGAATACAGGGTGTTCCATGAATATTGCACCACATTTGAGCTTATATTCTGTGAGTGTTTATAGCTTTTATTCCAAAACTGCCAGACCTTTCAATCCTCTGTCCTTTTGTGAATAGCCATGCGAATTCCACGGCTTACCGTTCAGCCTGCATCTCATGGTGGGCCTGAACTTCAAAAAGAGTGCCTAACCTCTCACAC